GCTCCGATCCTAACACAAACTATGTCAAATCTTTGACCTATATTCTATCACAAGCTCTCTACCTACACCCATTGAACCCACAATTATTAACTAAGCCCAAAAATTTTCACACTTGTGCAAAACCATGTATAAAGAATATGATGTCCAACTCTATAATGTCATATGGACCTTTGTACCATTTCATCATACACAAAATATCATCAGGCATAAGTGGATATTTTGAATTAAGCAAACCCAAATAGATCCGTTGCCAAATACAAAGCATTTCTAATAGCCAAAGGGTTTCACCAACGATCAAGTATTGATTTCATAAAAACATTCAGTCTAGTTATTAAACCTACAATAATCCGACTAATCTTAAGTTTAGGTATCACTCAAGACTGGCACATATGACAACTAGATCTTAATAGTGCTTTCTTATAGGGGATCTTAATTGAGGATGTCTTTATGTAGCAATTTTCTGGCTTCATCCACCCTCAATATTCAAGCCATACTTATAAATTACGAAAAGCTATTTATAGACTTCCCTAAGTTTCAAGAGCTTGATATACCGAACTTGGCTCATTTTTAGCATCAATTGGTTTTATCAACTCTAAGTCCGATACCTCGTTATTTCTACGATAATAAAAAGGGAGTACTATATATTTACTAATATATGTCGATGACATTATCATTACAAGTAGTAATCCTATGGAGATCAAGCAATTAATAGGTCAATTCTTCGTTAAAGATTTAGAAACTTGAAGCTACTTTCTAAGATTTATACTTCAATTCTTCGTTAAAGATCTAGCAATTGGTAGGAGTTAAAGCAACACTCATATTTTCTGAAAGATAAATATATAGAATGAAAAAGAAGTTGTTATCCATCTGTACTACTAAATCATTAAATTCTATAATGACAAGTTTACTATAAATCTCACACTGTATCAAATACTTAATTTTTTACGATTCTTATCTCTCATATGTCTAGATGTCTCGTTGGTCAATAATAAAAGCAAAGCACCCTATAGTTCTCGATGGACTGCGCTGCCATCGTAGCTACAGGCAATTAATGCAAAGCAAAGAGATACGGAGGAAGTGTAGATGAGAGTGGCCTGAATGCTGACGGTGATGATGGAGGAAGATACAGAAAGTAGTTATATAGATGCTTGCCGTTCTCTCGGGGGCATATTAAGGTGGTCTCACTCGATGTCTTTTATTGGGATCATATTCATTTCAAGAACACGGAAGTGGAGTCTCAATAAATGTGACGTAGCTTTAGGGCAATCAAAATAAGAAGAAAGGGTGAGATCGTATCAACAAAGTCAGAGGCTTAGACTTGTTCAATGACTTTTAGGACTGTACAGGTGCAACAATTCAATGCCGGCAGGAAGATTGTCAAATTGGTGTGACCAGTATGGCCACAAGGCCTAACTAAGTTTCAAGCCAAACTGATTGATTCGTTGATTGAGATCACCTCAACTAAAACCCGCACTGAAATTTGAATAATAATTTATCATAGCGATTGTATATCATCAATATTATTGATTAATTAAGACTTAATATTGATGAATCGATAGATTATATTAACATGTTTTAATTTTGTCCAGAATATTTCCTTTGACCACTTCTCATAAAAATTTAATTTGATTATCGTCTTTTATCGTTTCTTAGATCAATACTATATGTCAAGGATAAAACTTGGAGTAAATGTCTCTTCAAATTTCAATATCTTCGAGCTAATTTCATGCTCTTTGTTCTCCAAGAATACAATAGAAGGTAATGCTACATTGTGTAGCATTGATCATCAAAGCAGTCGAACGATGAGCTCAATCGTGGAGATCGATCTCGAAAGCAGACTCCGGGAAGGTCTCCGATAGCCCGGTGGAAGTCCTGAAGGTGATCTTCTTCCCGGAGGAGTGGTCGTTGACGCAGACCTCGACGACGGTGAACCAGATAAGCAGCTCCCTGGCCTTCACGCCGGTTATCTTCTTCAGCTTGCGCTCCTCCACGAAGGCGGTCACCTCGGCGGCGTATGACACCAGCTGCTTGATCTCCTCGAACATGTGGTTTATCTTCTTCTTCTGTGTCAGCCACACGAAGCCGTCGTCGTGGTTGTAGCCGACCTCTTCTATGTCCTCCAACGGCAGCAGGCCACTGGGGAGGCCGAGCTCTCGGAGCAGCTGCATCGTCTTCTCCCTGCAGACGTCGTCTCCGTGGTAGACCTCGGCGCCCTTGCGGTGATGCTCGATGGCTTGGGATGCCATTCTGTGGATGCTTCGAGTTGCAGGCAGCCGAGACCGGGATGGATTACTTATAGTGGTGGAGGAGAAGAAGACGACTCGGGCGGCATTAATGCAAACAGCTTGTTGAGCTGTTTGTGATAATTTCAACTAAAAGATCGGTGCAGTAGTGTTGTGTTCTCTCGTTCGTTAGATCTTTTGGGTTCACGAAATGTGCGGTCGGGCGGTGTTTGGAGGTCCACGAATTGAATAGACCTAAATGCTCGGTTCATTGATTCCGGCCATTGTTGCGTTCACCTGCTTCCGTCCATAGCCATTTGAAGTGTTGTCTTCCTACTACCACCGGCCAGATTGCTGGGTGGTCCCTCACACGTGGCATGTAGTGGGACCAGTAGAGTTTTAAATAAATAAAAATTAATCCGGAAAAATGATAAAAGATAGGGGAAAGAAACGAAAGATAATTACAGAACAGAAAAAAGATCTGAGATGGTCTGATGATTGATCTCATAGCATCGAGAGCTAATTAATTTAATTTGCTGCTTGGTGTTGCCCTCCGAAAATATTATTGATATATAGATAGATATTTATATACGCACGTCATAGAAACACAGATAGAAACAAGAGCTAATTAATTTAATTCGCTCTTGCCTTTGGCCAAAGGAAGGGCAGACTTGGAGAACGAAGGGATCGCCTGTGCCCCAACTGAAGAAATCTCTCTATTCTATTGAGAATAATCCTCTATTCTGTTGAAGGAAATCCTTTCTCCTAATTTGTATAAATAGGAGAGGGAACATGTTAATGTATTGAAGTATTTTTCATTTATTAAATAAAGTTTTTTCACTTTTTCAATAAAACTTCTTCAATAATTGTTCTTATCATTCATTACCTTATAAGTTTTATGATCAATCTTGGAATATGGCACGCACATCATGTGTGTGTGAAGAAGGGTGGAGTAACACATGGAGCATTAAAAGAATAGTGAGGATAAGAGAAAACTTTTAGTGTATTTTTATTTTATTTTATTTTAGAAGAAAATCATTGAGAGAAATATGCCCCATAAACAATAATTTTTCTAAGAGAGGTGAGGGTAAACTTATAATTTATGATTTTTCTAATCATTCCCCAAAGAAACATAAATTATTTTAAAATAATTAATTAATTAATAAAATGAAGAACAAAATAAAGATTATTATAGTCAATGAGATGTATTTTCAAGGACTAAGCTCATTTAGTGAAATAACTACCTAAAGAAAATGAAGTGAAACAAGTCTTAGACTATGTTCCTTTTGATCTAAATTTCAACTAACAAATTTACGCTTTATTAGTCATGCATGCATGCATGAGTATTTTATTTATTTATGAGAAATTAAAAGAATTATCTAAATACTTAGTCGATACTGTCTAAAATTCTCTATTATAGGAAAGTCGCTATCAAAGATGTGTATAATTATATCTCATACAAAATATTACTTCGAGTTGGAGTTAACTTCATTTGTACACTAATATGTTTTTCATTATTTATCTTTCAATTTGCTCCTTAGCCAATTAATTAATTTGTTATTATCATATTGAATCTCCTTTAAGGATTTCCATTTGTACTCCAACCTTTGTACAAATGTACTACATTAATTAACTTCATTATCTTCATTAATTAACTTAATTAACTCCTTTAAGGATCTGCATTAATTAACTTCATTTGTACTCCAACCTTTGTACACTAAGGTTGGAGTTAACTTCAATTTGCTCCTTAAACATACAAAATATGTTTTGCATTATTTATCTTCCTACCATTAAAAGATCTATCATAAACTAACCTATCACCCTCGATGATATCATGGCAATAGTCCATTTATTTATGTAAAAGCTATCAATATATATATATATATATATATATATATATATATATATATATATATATATATATATATATATATATAATTATACATGTATCCATCATGAGAATAAACATGTAATTTATTTTATGCATGATATAATCATTCATGTATCTAAATAACTGACATCTATAGTCAAATGTCAATCGATAAGCATGCTAATATAAAATAAAGTATTTATAATTTATCATAATAAAATGATGGTAAATGATTACACATATTAAGCAAATCCATAATTATAAGCATGATATTGATACAACTACATTTCTTAGGAAATTTGAAATATCCCCACATTTGTTCAAAAATTGAACATATAAAGAATGTAACATAATAATATTGCATGGCGTACTTTGCTAAAATGGATAACATTAATTCATTTATGCATCTATATAGTGTAATTTAAAAGGAATTTTATAATTTGGAATGTTGTATGAGTTAACATTGAAACAATGTATATTATTCAAAATATATTTTGAAAAAGGAAAAGATAAAAATGAAACAAATCACTCATAATATATTGAATGCACCAATTATGAACACATACTAGCATTGATGAGAGCAGAGAAAATTTTGTAGTAATATATTCACCAAAATTCTAAATAAACTTTCCGTGATAAAGTCTTCTTCTAACTTTTTATTGCATTTACTGTGAGCATGTCATGCAAATAAAACATAATAGCATTCAGAAGGAAGAATAATAATACATTTTCAATTTTTGTTCACATGTATTAAATAAATTCATATATACAAATAAGATGGCTAAAACCTCACATTTCTAGGAAAATTTAGAATTAATAATTTGCTCATGACATTACATATGATATTTAAAATATGTGTCATATATTTCATGCATGCATAATACAAAAAAAAATAGAATAGAGGTGTATATTCCAATATCACCCCAAGAAATAATACCATATACACATTTAGAAGAGTTATATCGTGAAAACAAATTGCTGTAAAATGCAGATAACAAAAGCGTCCACCGGAAGAATGCTCATGTGATTAATATTATCCCAATACGATAACTAAATATTTAGATTTATTTTATTTGCATAGCATTTAATGAAACAAAAACTATGGACTGACCAAAGTCATAACAAGTAATACATCAACCACTCATAATATAAATTGTTCAACAAAAATAATAGTTACAGTTAGATCGATCAGCAGCTAATGCTTCATAGCTATATCTCGGGAGATATTTTCATTTCAAGAACAACATATTACGCATATTGTTTTTAATATTGATCCAAATGATTAAATTATTTTAAGATCAAAATTAATTGATTCCAAAACAGTAAGAGTTACGACATGCATATTGGAATAGGAATTTAATATTTTTCCACATATGTTTATATGTATGGTTTGCACACATGTCATGAAGCTATAGGAAGTGAATAGTGTTTGAATTAAAGAGGTCCAGAAATCAAACTTGTTTTTTTATCTTTTTATAACAAAAAAAATGTAGATATTAATTTAATTATCAGAAATATTAAATCAACAGAAACATTGAAAGATATTTTTTTTATATCAAAATAAGAATTTTTATTTTATTTTTGACAGAAATCATAACTCCAATTAAATCAGGGAAGTTTTTTTATATTTAAGTAAAGATATGATTAACATTTAAAAAAATATATGTAGTTAATCAGTTTAGTAATCTTTTTAGTAGAGTCTTATATATTTTTATATGAAAAGAGAATCCGTTTAGTAGCGAAGACGACAAACAGTTACTCAAACAGTTAAAAAGATTGTATATTTATTAAAATCTAATTACAATAGATTAAATTCAAAAAATATAAAACACATTATAATCAGATTAAAAAGCTACGTAGAACAATCAATCAGGATCAACAATAAATATAATAATTTTATTTCGAAATACCAACTCGATATTTAATTCAAGTTATTTTAGCAAACAATCAACCACTAATGCATAGATTAAATACAAATAAATAAATAAACAATCCTTTTTTAGTTATCGATTTAACACCTTGTTTCGTTTTAATCGAAGGGAGAATGTGCTTAGAATAGCGATCACACACCTTCGGATTTTATTTTTCTAACTTTTATTTTTTCTTATAATTTCTTATATTTTTTTATTTTAATATAAAAAAATTATTGAAAGATAAAGATAATTTTATGCATCGTAAATAAATTTACATGTGTACCTTTTGATGCCACCGATCTAAGATTGCTGCAGGCACCGTCAATGAGTAGATTTTTTATCCTTTCTCCTCTTTTCCTATCCTTTCACGTGACCCATTGAGATTGATAGATTTTTGGAGAGAAAAGGTTTTGGGGGAGAAACTGAAATCCACGCTCTCTCAACCCCTAGGTCCTGTCCTTTTTTAGGCGAGAGCAAAGGGTCGTAAGGGCCACAAAATCTAACAATAACTATCTCATTCATTCTATCAATTTTAGGCTCAATGAATCTATGTCCACATGCACCCAAGGTATCCTTCCTTCGTTCCCAAGACGCACGGAGGCCTCCAAGAATACCAAGCGCTTAATAATGTATCCCTCTACCATCCTTGAAGAACTTGCAATCAGCAACAATGCAAGCAACAGTATCATCTACCAAAATGAAGCTAAACCCTCCATCCTCATCTTGGGTCCGACACCTATCACTGCTTAGTTTAGTCCTTTTAATGCTATTAAAAGTTGAGAGTTACTTCTACTCTCGTAGGACAAATTATGAATTATCAGATGACACTAATAAGCATGTTTAATTTGATATCAAACCTAATCTATCTTGTACATGAGAGAGGACATTAAAATTTATTCCAGATTCAATCCTTTTCACATAGTTCCAATTTCAGATAGAATAACACTGATTAAAAAAACAGAGATAGAATGATCATAATATGGCCACTCTTGAGTGGCAATTGTAACATAGGACTATCTCAAACTTTCAAGTGGCAAGTTGTCAATCTACATCTAATTCATTTGTTTGGGAAAACAATTCTAATAAAACACCAATGCAAAAGTTACATACCCAAAAGAAAAAGAAAAGAATACAAGATTCATATGGTTGAATTCAGCATCATGATCTAAGTCCACTCTAGTTTATATCAAACTATCAACGGAGAAAAGGTCATATTTTTAACAATGATAAAATAATTATAAAAAAGAAAATTCCATTTAGAATAACTTAAGAG